ATTTTAGTTCTGCAAGGATATACAAAGGGGGGCAAGCTGTAGACACCACATTTCGTCCGGCTTATTTTTACTTTTACTTTTAATTTATATTATTGTATTTTATTTTATTGAGGTTTATTTTAATTAAAGAATAACATAGGTTTACTTTATTATTAATTTTAATATAAAGTTTAAATTAACTAAAATTAAAATGTTAGATTTATTTAAATGTTAATTTTATTAATAAGAAAATAAAAAAATTATTTGTTTAGATTTTGTTTTATTATTAAAATAAAAATAGATAAATAAACATGATTTGTTTTTAAGTAAATAAATTTTTTTTTTTAAAAAAGAGAGATTTTGTTTTATTTAACAGTTTTTTTCTCCCCTTTGATTTTTTCCTTCATACGTGTATCCCCTCCCCTTCTTCTCCTCCCTCTTTTTCTCTCTTCTCTTCCCCCTTTTTCTTTTTTATCGTTAGTTTTTAGGTGTATTTAAGAAGGGCTGTAGTGGGGAGGAGAGGACGGACAGAACACCCATACAGAAGAATTCACTTCCTTCTTTCTCTCTACCATCACCTTCTCTTCTTCTTCACTCAGGCCGGCGACCCCGACGATACACAGACCGCACGCGTCCCCCGGTGATCACAAGTTCAGACAACCTGCACCATACTAGTCCGGCGCAAAACTTCTACAACCGACGCACGGATCACCGACCACCTGACTTCGACCTCGAGTGCTCCTTCATAGTTTTCAGACCCGCGGGCACACCTAGAATTTCCTCACTGCAGTACGTGGTATAGAAAAAAGTTGTTTTAGAAATGATTTGATTTTTTTATTTGTTTTAAATAAGCTTGTTTTAAATTTGATATTATATATATACATATATATATTAAATAATTTTTTTTAAATATGATTTGATATATTTTAAAATAAATTTGTTAAAATAAATTTGTTTAAATATGATTTGATATATTTTAAAATAAATTTGTTAAAATAAATTTGTTTAAATATGATTTGATATATTTTAAAATAAATTTGTTTAGATATGATTTGATATATTTTAAAATAAATTTGTTTAAATATGATTTGATATATTTTAAAATAAATTTGTTTAAGTATGATTTAATATATTTTAAAATAAATTTGTTTAAATATGATTTGATTATTTTTAAAATAAGTTTTAAATATTTATTTTTTATTTTATTATTATTATTATTATTAATATTATTTTTCGTTTTAGTTTTATTTGTTTTATTTTTATTTTTTTAAAACATTTTTTTAAAATAAAGATTTGTATGATAAGAATTAATACTAAGTTGTATCATATGGTGTTGGCATAGTGGTAGGTTACTTAGGATTAATTCACATGGCTTAGGTTGAGTCTTTGCTTGCCTAAATTAATGTTTTTTTATATATCATTATTTTACCAAACAACTATTTTAGATAAAATGTTTTTTAAATATAAAAAAAAAAAACTTTCGTTTTTATAAGATTTCAAATCTTAAAACATTTATATAAAATTTTAAATAATATCTTAGTAGGTTGCCACCCAGAATAGTTCAAGAGTTACATATCATTTTGTATGTAAATTTCGTTGGTTTGTAAGAAATTTTATTTGCACCATTTTGATAGAAAGGAATGTTTAAAATGGATGTAAGAATGATTGTTCTGTTGAGATTATTGATTTATTGTACATCCATTTAGAATTTGTTAGTCAAAGTTCAGGTCAAAGTTAAGGAAAAGTTGACCGTAGACTCCATAGTTAGTCGGGGTCTGTGGTCGGCGCGACTCGTTCTAGGACTAGTAGATGTTTTGGGACGGGTCGTGTCAGTTTGGTATTAGGGCATAAAGATCCTGCATTAGATAAGAAGTTGCATTATAGTTCATGTTGTGAGTGTTTGATATGCATTACATTATAGAAAGTCATGCATCGATGTGGAAGGTTTAAGAATTTGAAACTCAACAGGTACCTGGTGGGTGAAGTGCAATGGAGGAAGAAGTACTAGGTGAGACTAGTCTCCGACCAGAAGATCCACAAGAGAATATTAATGACCAAGATGAACGGGTGATGGCAAGAATTGCTACTCTTGGAATAAGAATGTTGAGGAGTGATCCCGAGAAAAACTTCAAGATTGGGTGACTCAAAGCTTTAAGGGCGACTACTTTTTCTGGGACGATTGATCCAGCTGATGTAGAGTCCTAGATGAAAAAGCTAGAAAAATGTTTTAATGTGATGGAGTGTCCAGAAGACAGGAAAGTTAGGCTGGCTATGTAAAGACCCAAATTTCTGATACGATTAACGAAGTAACGGTCCTATAACACTTACTGAATCCTCCTATTTAAGGTATCGAAAATGTAATGTTCTCCTAATGCAACATACAAAATGGAGGTACACAATAATGGAATATCCATGAGATAACATCCGCCTCAGTGGTCAGGAATCCAATAAAAAAAGAAAATAATCGTTTTGTCTCGTAATCCCAAATACATCAGTAATTCGAATAGTAAAAATACCCATAAAGCAATAAGAGAAAGTGTCCTTTGAGTTAACCCAATGTCTAATTCCCATTTTATTTCATAGCAATAAGATTTTAACGGTGTCTGTATTGCACAACATTATTCCCTAGCCTAACTAACGCAGCTAGTGATCCCTCCTCAGTCAGACCTCCTCCACGTCATCACCACGGTCGGCCCGGTTCACACCTGAAACAATTAAAGTAGAGGGGGGGGGGTATATAAAATACTCCATAAGTAGCCCTCCCTAACTAA